CCAAGTTTCGTTACGAAATGTTGTAAAATGCGGATAATATAGCCTTGCGAAGTTTGCCGGTTTTCAGTCATTTTGTATTACAAACGGGAAATTGACAGCCCCAAAGGGTATTGGGCTGTCAATTTCCCCTGCGTAATGCAAAATGACTGAAAAACGGCAAACTAAACTTCGCAAGGCTATATATTATCCGCATAGTTTACAACATTTCGCAACGAAACTTTGGAATATTACTAATTTTGTGACGCTCTTTCAAGTTGTGATAAAATTTTTGTCTAGACTTGTTTAGATCAAAATTTAGTCTATAATACAAATGGTCCATTCTCCAAAAATACGGATTTAAATTGTCCATACGGCCCCAGGGGCCGGTTGTATAAAACTCTTAATCATTTTTTTAATCACTATTTTGTAGTTAAATAGTGATTAACTCTCAAATAGGCGCTTCTTATTGGATGACGTTTGCACTTAACCGTAGTTAACTTTAAGCCTGGTTCACATATGCCTGCGGTATGCCTGCGACTGTATCATTATGCCTCTACTTGCCGCCGAAATACCGGCAAAGTTGAACTCAAGTCAACTTTCCCGGCCTACCGCCGATGGAACTGTGGCACTGGAGGCAATCGGCGAACAAATATTCACATAATTTACGTTTTAAGCTACCACCGGCATCGTCGCCGTTACGTTGCAGGCACGTCGCAGGCATATAGGTGAACCAGGCTTTAATCGCTTTTTTTATACAATCGGCCCCAGGACGATAACAAGTTGTTCGAGCAACTTGTAACAAGCCGATCTGTTGAACTCAACAAACTTGTAGCAAGTTGTCAACAGGCCGTTGACAACTTGTCAACAAGCTGGAAACAAGCAGTGCGAACACAACCTATTGACAAGTTGCTGGAACAGCATTGCTACAAACACAGAGTAGAGACATACTGTAGAGACTCTGTGTAGAGACCAGGGCCGTAGCAAAGGGGGTATTGGGAGGGTGGTTAACCCCCCCCAACTTTTTTAGAATTTATATATTCTGAAAATCAGGTTGGTCATTCGGAAAATTACGGCAGTAATAGTATAACAAAATTTTAGTTGTTTAAACAGAGAAAATATTATAAAATTGTATTGTCAGCGTCATAAACTGATTTAAAAATCACGGCATTTACATGGATAACATTTAACAAATCGTAGATCGGTAAATGTTTTTCGGTTTATTACTTCCCAGGGCCGTAGCAACGGGGGGAGGCAGCCCTCAATATATCTTTAAAATACTGACAATTGATTAATTTTAAGCGGCTACATTACCCATGACAAACCGCAAAGAATCGTATTACCCATATACGCCTTTGCCCATTTAGTTCTTCTAAATTGTACGCAAATTAATTGTAAATTTTGACGTGCTAAAACTCTGTTTTCTGACCATCAGAATTCTGTCAAAACTTCCCCCAAAGTCCACGAAATGGCATTTCAGAGACTCTAAATTTAAAAATTTCCTCGGCCCTTCGGCCCTCGCCACCCCCTATAAAAAAGAACTTCCTACGGAACTGTACGGTCACACGGAACTGCACGTACGGAACTGCACGCTTCTTCTGTAATGTCTGTGCGTAAAGTATGAGTATTTTTATTTGTAAATTGCGTTTTCATTTTCCGGATAGCAAACACCTTCGTGGCTTCGTACGCATATGCCATGAAATATTCGGAAAATTTTTGCGTCATTCGGAAATTTTTAGCCTATCCCCCCCAACTATGCTTGCTTAGCTACGGCCCTGGTAGAGACACAGAGTAGAGACATATGTCTCTACTGTCTCTACTCTGTGCTACAAGTCTGCTGCAAGTTTGTTACAACTTGTGCGTTTTTACTTTGTAATATCTCTTGTTTTATTCTGGCGTATGAACACGACTGCTGACGCCACTATTCCTGTTCATCGGTTCATGGCGAAATTTGAAATGTGACATCTTTTCACGCATTTATTCCAGTACATACGCCGTGATAAGGATCGTGTATGGTTTGGTATATCGGTATATCCGCAACCCGCATTTCTATATTAACCTCATTTCATGTGGAAAATTATCCCTACATGTACCAAGTATGGTGCCAAGGTTCCTAATTTCGCGCCAAAATTTTAAGAACAAAGATGGCGCCAACGAAAGGTGAAAGTGTCGATGACAGTTCGCTGGAAATTGGTAGGTTACTGCGATATTTACTGTCGTTTTATATTTTGCACAAGCTACAGATTTTTGCTGTATATGTACTTTTATATTCATAGCAAAAACCCGCATTGTAATGCCGAAATAAAAGAGCCAAACTTGATTAAGAGTTAACTTGCATATTGTATCATTTGAGTCAAAATAATTTAATACTATTATGTACCTATATTTATGACTAGAATCTGTGGCTACACGCCGTGGTAGGCGATCAAAGAAAGAAACGGGAGCCAGTGCTGCTTTGAAGAAAATCAAGTAAGAAATCTGTAGTGAATATACAAAAGTATATTTGGTTTGTTTGCCCTGATACCTTTTATATATATTTCTGTATTTATCTAGGCAGTCTCGTGAAAGTGGTGAAAAAGTTAAATATGAAGTAAGCCTGCATGCTACAAGGTTTAATGGTGGATTAAAAATAATTAAAGTTTACAAAGTCGTTATTTGTTCGGTCACAGAAACCAACAAGCTTTAGCTATTTGTCCCAATAATTGCTTTGGTTGGTTCATTTAAAATTTAAATGGGCAGTGTTTATATCACACAATAAAACCGAAAACTTACCCGCAGCTAACCCTTTCCCTATCCTCTAAACCTAACTCTAACTCTAATGTCCTATATATTTTGAGTATTTAACCGTTATAATACTTAACGAAATAATTCAAAAAATATTAGCAGTATATGTAAAAAATATATCTAACTTGTTAATAGGATGCATTTGTTGTGTTTGTGAGTTTAGTTGATGCGATTACTTTACGTTTTCGTCGTATTTGAACGGTCGTCAGTACTGGCACTGAACGACATGGCCATAGGATATGAATAACTACAAGGCTAGTCACTTATCTGATATACTCTCCAACATCGAGTCCAATATTTCTCCTCAGAATCGTTGCAGAGCAATAAATTTCACATCGCCTAATAGTATGAACATTCCTCTTTCGAAAGAACATTGTTTGTTCACCATTTGGGCAATATTCTCGTGACACATGATGAACTTTGTTTATCCAAAATTCAAATTTTGAAAGAGGCACTAACCCCATGATCCTTGCCACGAAAGCAGCTCAGCAACCTGGCCTCCTCGTTCGAAACACTCCATCAGGGGGGGAGGGAGGAGCTGCACTGGAATGAGGGACTTTCAAAGCAACACAATAAAACACACAATATAAATGATAAGACATACGGTTGAACGCAGCCAAGTTCAATATTTTAAAATTAAAAAGATTGGTATGATTGTCAAAAGCTAAATGTTATAATAAGTAGATAACATTTTGGTTCTAAAAAATATGTAAGGAAAAGTTCATAACAAGATATTTCTAATTTTCTCATGCTTCTAAAAATAGGACTTGATTCAATACTTGTTTATTGTCGAATACAGCATGATAAAGTAATCATTTCTATTTATATTGTGTGTTTTATCGTGTTGCTTTGAAAGCCCCTCATTCCAGTCCAGTTCCTCCCCCCCTGATGGAGTGTTTTGGAATGAGGAGGCCTGGTTGCTGAGCCGCTCTCGTGGCAACGATCATGGGGTTAGCGCCTCTTTCGAAAATGGAATTTGGATAAACAAAGTTCGTCGTGTATCACGAGAATTGCCCAAATGGTGAACAAACCATGTTCTTTCGAAAGAGGAACTATATTATTGCTCTGCAACGATTCTGAGGAGAAATATTGGAGCTCGATGTCAGAGAGTATATCAGATAAGTGACTAGCCTTGCAGTTATTCATATCCTATGGCCATGTCATTCATTGCCAGTACTGACGACCGTTCAAGTACGACGAAAACGTAAAGCAATCGCATCAACTAAACTCACAAACACAACAAATGCATCCTATTAACAAGTTAGATTTTTTTTACATATACTGCTAATAGTTTTTGAATTATTTCGTTATTAAGTATTATAACGGTTAAATATTCAAAATATATAGGACATTCAGAGATTGGGCCGCCTGTGCTGTGTGCATGTCAATCCATGGAGCTAGTGTGTACAAGGCGATGACTATAACACAATACAGTACAGTACAATAGTTCTCAAGTGTAAGATTTTAATGTTTCAAGTGAGGGCCCTACATACATCTGATCATTTCCCAAAACATGGGGGTCATATTAAAATGTTTTGTGTTCAACTCTGATATTCAGGTTGATGAGATAGATAATGTTTATGATGAAGTTGATGAGGACGAGTACACCAAAGTTGTCAGGAAGCGTCAGCTTCAAGACGACTGGATTGTTGATGATGGTATGTAGAATATCCATGCTGAACATTGTGGCTTTACCACGACCAAAAATGGGATTAAAAACACAGCAAAATACAGCAAAACTAATGCAGTTTGATTATTTACAGTATATCAAGTGATCATTTGATCAGAAAGTGAAATGAGTAACTCAACCTTCTGTGACTTGACTCAACTCGTTACTCGACCTGTAGGTGACTTATTTACAACACTCCAGTTAACCAGTGAACAACCAGAGAACAAACAGCGAAGAAAGTACACAGTCGGAATTTTCACAAAGTGCAATTAATTTATTTTGTTTTAACATGACCTAATCTTTAGTATCGATAGGGACATAGGGTTGGCTATTTTTGAACTTTTTTAGGCAGTTTAATCTTTAAGTAATTAAAATCACCTGGGGCCGTTTGTATGAAAAAGTGATTAAAGTTAACTTTGGTTAAGTGCAAACGTCATCCAATAAGAAGCGCCTATTTGAGAGTTAATCACTATTTAACTACAAAATAGTGATTAGAAAAGTGATTAAGAGTTTTATACAACCGGCCCCTGACCTACAGTTCTATTAGGATCATAACTAGGGCCTAGGCTGGGGCGGTTTTTCGGTATACCAGAAAATACCGTTTTAAAACGAAGAACCGGGAAAAAAACGAGATAAAAATGCTAATGTTTCAGCTACTGTAATCCTGACCTACAGTAGCTGAAAACTTGTAAATACGTTCCGCTTTTAAGGTAATTCCGCAGTAATTGTTCCCGAAATGAGAATGTGCTGAAACTTCCCAGGCATGGAGTTTATGATATACTTAAAGTAAAATCACACAAAAAAGTCGGGGTCACCGAA